CCGGGACGCCGCCTCAGTCGAGGCGGGTCACTCTGGTTTGGTGAACTGCGTGTCCGGCTCTGAGCGCAGCTGGCTGGTCCCCCTGGAGATGGCGGCCTGCGCCTCCCCTCCTCGCTCTGGTGGGTGGTCAGCGCCGCAGGGAACAGCTGGGTAAGAGTGAACTGGGGCACAACGTCTCCGTGTCTTTCCGTTTTGAAAAACGATGGTTGTCCAAGGGCTCTGTCCGATTTCCTTCTCGGAGCCCACCCTGTATTCTCGCCACAAGCGTTTCCCTTTCTTCCACTTCAGTTCTACCACGGCCCTCTGTCGTCGTAGATATGATTAAAACCGAACTGTTCCTGCCAGCTGTGACTGAGTGTAAAACTGTCCCTTGCAGGAATTCAAAGAAAGAGGCTGATTTAAACCTGGCACAGGCTCGCGTGAGGGACCTTGATGCTCAGCTGAACGCGAAGGAAGCCGACCTAGCAACAGCTCTGAGTGTGAACCGAAGTTTGGAGAACGACCTCCGAGAACTGAAGGATCAAGTAGTCACTGTAAGGCTTGCTCCTACAATTTCAACTTTGCTTTTGTTCCTGAAGGTTTGCTTGTTTTTTTTTTTTGTTTTGTTTTTTTCCCCAAATTAGTTGGTTGGGGTTTAAAAGCAGGCAAAGAGTGTCTTCTGTGACAACTACAGGATTTGTTGAATCTTGCTGAAAGCAAATGATACTGATAATTGGTTCATTAAAATGTCCTCTTGTAAGTAGCTTTAGTTTTATTCCATGACCGTGGTATGTAGTGTTTCTTGTTCTAAAGGCAAACAGAGTTGGAACGTGTTTGTCTGCTACAGCCCCTGTAGCGTTCGCTCCCATGTCGGCAAATGGAGCATTTGATGGGCCCTGCTCCACTGTGCTTAAATCTTGGTAGAATAAATAACTACTCACTGCTTTTCTTATGGACTCTTGTGCTACTAAAATGAACTCTGATTGCTTGAATTGCTTCTCTATCAAAGTGTATTACAACAGCTAGACTCTTAGAAATGTGCTATCTTGATGCTTTAATGTGATTATTGAGAACAGCCTAGTATAGGGTTTCCAGGATGAGAACTAAAGCCTTGTATCATTAAAATAGCACACTGCCATATTGGAAGTGTCTAATAGCTTGCCAGCATAGTAAGGCTATATTTGGGGATATCACTTGCTAAATATCAAATAAGTGACATTGGAATTTAGGCAGAAGTTTAGAACACTTAGTATTGTGAAGGAGAGGAATGTATACAGATGTTGTGATTTATCGGAGGTCTGCTTCCTGGGCTTGAAATAAAACAGTAGTAAAACTTAGCTGGTGCAATTGTGGGGTCCTGTATACTTGCCCTCTGAATAATCTGCTCTACATATAATTAAATAGGATTCTTTTCGTTGCAAACAGGCTGGGTCCCAATGAATCAGGAACCTAAACAGTAGAATAACCAACTTCACTTAAGCAGTGTGTTTTGCTTGCAGTAGGAATGAAGTTGAATGATCTGTATAAGTTGACTGCTTTCATTTGGAAAAGCTATCTCTTAATTTTAGTTACCCTGATGTCAATCTTTTCCAGCTGAAGCTCTCACTGGAGGATACCAAAAAGCATCTCCACAGTGAAATGTTGAGGAGAGTGGATCTGGAAAATCAAATGAAAACTTTGCAAGAGCAAATGACATTCCAGAAGCGCCTTCATGAAGATGTATGTTTTAGCTTATTAACAAGGATTCTTGTAGGTGTCCATGACCCCTGGATGCCCTTAAAAAGCAATGTTACATGTGCTTTATCCTTAAAAAGGTAACTAGCTGAGTCAACCTATGACAGTCCACCAACCAATAAAAACCACCTAACTAGGAAGACTTCAAGAAAGTGCACAACCTCATGTTAACTGGCATAGTACCAATAGGTATCTGGAGTATGAGATAATTTTCTCAGGCTGCACTTCTGAAGGTAACTACAATCCCAATATACTACTTTGTGTAACTGAAAGTGCAAATATTACAGTTGAAGTTAAATGATTCCAGGTGTTTGTTAGAAGCTAAAATAATCAAAGTTGAATCTCTTCTAATAAGCAACTCGTGTTCCCTACTTCCTTAACGCTTACCAAAGCTGTCTAGTAAACTTTGAGAAGTCAGTACATAGCATAGAACTAAATATTATGTAAATATAAACAAACTTCCTTCTGACTGGAATGAATCCCAAAGCATGTGTGGTTTAAGTGATGGAGAATCTCGATTTCTAACCTAACTGCTGTTATTTCTTGAATAAAATAAGAATAGGTAAAGCAACAGTTCTTAAAGAAAACTGAAGTCTACATGCACGTCTTCTAATTAGAAGAGAAGTTAAGAAATCGGTCTAGTTCAAAGGATTAGTCTCCAAATGAGATGCAAACTACTGCATTTAGTAGTTTATCAGAGCAATGTTGGTAGTGAGGAAGCCAAGCAACCCAGCATGCCTAGATGGAAGTAGGTGACATAATGGACAAGTGTCTAAATTCTGTGACTAAAGATGAATTACCATGTACTTCATGACAAATCTGCTTCAGTGTTGAATGACTTGCTAAGCTGTTACAGTAAACCTGCAGTCTCAAATTGAGCTGTGGTGACTTGCTTATTTTCTGAGAAACTTCTTGTCCTCCTAGGAGCTCAAGGAGACAAAAAGAGTCCATGAGAGCAGGATAGCAGAAATAGAATCCGGCCGTCAGAGAGAATTTGAGAGTAAGCTCTCGGATGCTCTGCAGGGACTCAGAAAACAGCATGAAGAACAAATTCAAGGATACAAAGAGGAGCTGGAACGAACATTCAGTGCAAAAGTGAGTCTGCAGAAGATGCCAGTAAAACAATTTTAGCTCTACACCTTGCCTTGATTAAATTCATACTTACCTAAATAGCTGAGTGGAGGCCTTGTGTTCACTGCAAAACTTCTTGGCATAAATGGGAAAGGTAATCAACTCAACAGCTATTGTGGAATCTCAGAACAGTGTCAAATATTTGACAACTGCACTTTCTGTCCACAGACACACTTACAGTCCCAAATAAAATTGGTTCAAGCATTAATATGATTCCTTTGGGGAACCGAGTTAGGGATGGCTAATGTAACAAAATTGACTGTAATTCAAACTACTGAGAAATCCGAATACAATCCTGACAAATGTAGCTCCAAGGTGTGCTATGTTGGTATTAAGCAACAACAATATTACTGAATACAAGTTGATCTGCTGATTGTAGTTGTACTAAAAATATATGAAACTAAGTATTCTTACAGCTGTTGAAGAGCACTTTCAAACATGAATGCAAATACTACTTTGCAGTTGTACTGATTAAGGTGGATAGGGTGGCTATGGACAGGGCTTGATTGCATCTCTCCTGGAACAGTTCTGCCCCTTTCTTAGCATTAGCCTTACGTTCAGGAAAAAAAGTCCCAGAGAAGATCCCAGAGAACTCTGGGCTGGTTGCAATGCATGGTATTAATACTTCAGGCTGATGCTCTTGTAGTTAAGATCCCAGAGATCTCTGGGCTGGTTGCAATGCATGGTATTATCTTAAGCCTTCCTTAATATTCAGTGCAGAATCATATGTGCTACTTTCTTATCAAGTAGATGTCTTAATTTTGTCTTAGTTCTTCTGACTTCCTCTGTTCTCCAGCTTACTAAATTCCTTTTGATACTTCTGCCTAGGTTTCTGCCAGACCTTCTGTGACTGCCTCTTGTAGCATGGCCCTTTATTTTGGTGCTTATTTCCTTTCTTGGAAAATCTCAAGATCAACTTGCTCTAGAAATAGCTTAGTGTTGCAGAAACTGTTTGTTCTTCCCCAATAGTTCTAAAACTAACACTTGAATAAGCACACCTGATATCATGTAGTCTCATGCTTTGACAAGCAGCTTACTACCTTATTCTCCGTTATTCTTCTGGAAAACCCATTTACTTCATACCTGTACGAAGTCTTTATGCATCTGTAACTGAAATATCCTAATCCAACACCTTTAATTACCTGATTATTGCTGACTTATCCTGACATGGCATCAAAATCATGTAAACTGCCCTGAAAAGCAATGAAAAATCTTTTGACCTGGAGTTTATTGGTATCTGCACAGTTAAGTAAAACAGAACTATTTCCAGATGTAACACAGCTGGAAATCACTTTGTTTTCCCTCCCTACTTAAAATACAAGGTCATAAGTAACTTATTACTAACAGTGACTTATCCATAGGTGGAGAATGCCCAGCTGTCTGCAGCAAGGAATAGTGACTTTGCCAATGCTGCTCGGGAGGAACTAATGGAAACAAAGCTGAGAGTTGATACTCTAACATCCCAAGTTAATCAATATCAAAGCCAGGTACTATTTACACTTGTTTATACTTAATGTTTTAGTTTAGATACCCAGTTCAAACTATTGGGCTCTTCTCTCTAATCTTCAGTTATGCTTTAACTGAATTTTTCCCCTTTAATTTTAGAATGCTGCTTTGGAGAACAGAATAAGGGAGCTACAGGAAACGCTGGATTATGATCGTGATCTCCATCGAAGACGTATGGCAGAAAAAGAGAAAGAAATGGCACAAGCCCAGCAGCAGGTACAAGCACAGTTGGAAGAATATGAGCATCTCTTAGATGTGAAACTGGCTCTAGATCTGGAAATAAATGCCTACCGAAAGATGCTGGAAGGAGAAGAACAGAGGTAGGATATGACAAGATCCTCATATGAAGACTTGCTTCATGTAAGACCGCTGTACTAATTAACTGTCTATGCTTCAGAATAGGGAGAAGGCAAGAAGTAAATGTGATTGTGTGCAATTAGTACTGTAATCTAGGTCCTAAAGCATAATCTATTGTAAATGCTCTTTATACCCCACCCTCTCCCCCCCGCCCCCCCCTAACATTGTAGTAAGGGAAGATCAAGTAACTCATAAACCCCACCAAAAAAGGCTCAAAGCTCCACTAGACGTTCCTCCCTGGAAACGTACTGAAGCTTTGAGGAAAGTTTAATGCAACATCCTGGAGATATAAAACAGCCCTTTTCCCTCAGATTTAGGTGCTGATGCCATCTACACGGAGTAATGAATGTTGCGGGGGCAGGGGAACAGAAGACTGCTTATAGAGGTAGAGACATCCTGCACAGGTTTTAATCTCAGCCTGGCTAGCTGAGAAGTCCCTTTACCAATTGTGGAACTTTAGCATTTCAGGCTGCACACATGAATGAAATGAGGCAACTCCAACTATCCATACACTGCTTGGTGAGAACAACATGAACTCTCACTCTACATGCTAAGAAAGGTCAAGAACTTAAACTACTCTCACTAAAGAGTGTATCCATAGAGACTTTAAATGAATGTTTCTTGCAGTTGGGAATCGTTTCTTGCAGTTGGGAGTCGTTTCTTATGGACGTAAGCTTGCTCTGAACTCTAGGTCTGGGGCTGTCTTCCAGACTTAACAAGCTACTTACTGAGTTGCTCTTGCCAGTAAAAATAAAATCTTATGTTCAAGACTTTACAGAAAGCTGGGATATAAGAAGCTGTTAGGCTTGGCTATTGCAAGATGAGAGGAGGAAGAAGAAATAACATTCACTTGAATATCTATGCTTATCTGACTCCCTTCTAGGCTAAAGCTCTCACCTAGTCCATCTTCACGTGGCACTGCAACTCAAGCAACAACAAGTCAAGGGCGCCGGTTTCTGCATGGGAGAAAAAGGAAAATGAAAGAAGCAAAAATGAGAGGGCGTAGTACTGGATTTAAGACTGTTCAGCATGCTTCATCTTCTGGAAATGTATCTATTGAAGAAATTGATACCGAGGGGAAATTTGTCAGGCTTAGAAACAACTCTGATGAGGTACTCCTACTCATTCAAGTGTGCATTCCCTTCACTGCAAAGTGTATGACTCCTTGTGAATGGACTTGTGGCTTAGTGAGATGGGAGCTGGGAAGGGTGAAAAGATGAGGAAAAAACTGCCAAACTAAATACTAGATGGGACTTCTTCAGCTCACGTGACTCTGTCAAGGGAAGAGTATGCAAACTGATTTGGGTACTGCAGGGGTTTTATTCACAAAGCTGTTTGAGAGGTGCCTTTGGGGGAGTTACACTGGCTTCTATGATGCAGAAGTGTAACATCTGTAGTTATTTCTTGCCAGATCAGTCTAGCTATACTAGAAGTACTTCTTCCTTGATGAACTACATGATCTGCTTAGTAAACTAGATAATGACAGCCTCTTATTACCTAGAGGTGCTTAGAACAGCTAAAAGGTTGAGTAGGACTGGCAGTATCTAACCCATACAAAGAAGGTTTCTCTAACTAATTAGATAACTCTTCAAATGGTTTAATCTGCAAATCCTGAATTATTAGAATTAATTTTTAAAAAGCTTAAACTTGACGGGTGGCTTCACTACTTCAGCCCAAGATATTTTAAACCTTCTCCTGCCACTTCATGTATGTTGAGGCTCAACTTGTGAATGGGCATGACCAGCTTCATTTATCAGAATATCCTTGGTAAGAACATCATGATAATCCCTTCAACAGAAGGCAAGGATAGATGTGCCTAAACTTGTGGGACAGGTGGTAAGATTAACCATAAGGAAGTACTGACAGAGATCATAGGGAGGCTTTACTGGCAATTTGAAGGCAGCCTCAACATTGGTCAGACTCCTTTATGCTACACGAGTGGGATTAAATGACCCTGAATCTGGAAAGAACCTTGCTCTTCTATGATATGGTGTTGCCCTGTAATGCTGAGAGAAATGTCTTATCTCATAGGATCAACCACTGCATGGATGGGTGTTGAGACGACGGCTTGGAAGTGTCTCTGATGCAACATATAGATTCCCTTCACTGTTCACTCTTCAGGCAGGCCAAATAGTTACAGTAGGTAGCAGCTTTGTAAAATTTATTCAAGGAGCTCTGTTTTTGTTACCTTGGATGACAATAGAGATACTCAGTTCATATAACAAGAAAAGCTAAATTTATGTCTGTTAAACTTCCTTGGTATTTTAAGTGCCCAAGAACTAAAATTTTTATTTTATGTGGGCAGGCAGACGAGAAGATCCTTGCAACAACTTGACCCGAAATGCCAATTATAAATTTTCTTTATAAAAACAAAGTCTTGGAGACTTACTCCTGTGATTTGATAACAAGCTGTGCAAAGACTTTCACTGTTGCTAGCATCTCTAGTCTACTACAGCTCAGCAATGCTGGGCTTACAGTTAGTAGCACTAAGCTAAACCTTAGCCGAAAAAAACTTAATCTAAGTAGGTCTAGATAGTGTTTAAAAAGCCTGACTCTACACTCTGTACTGCAAACTATCACAGGCTTACTCAAAAGAGGTCTGGTAGTGACTCCAGGTTAGAGAAGGCCATCTTGTGTACACAACTTGCTGCCATGAGTAAGTGTATAGCCATGGCTTTGCTCTGTGACCCTAATGGTATGTATGTCTGAGCAAGGCTACCTCTTAATTGGGTAGAAGCTGTTAACAGGCCTTTCTGCACTAAATGTTCTACAGTCCTAAGCTGAAAACATTGCTAGTTTATTGGTTAGTCCTAAAAAGAAGCATGAATCCTGCCATGAACCAGAGTAGTTCACTTTCTATTACTGGACGTCTTTGGGAGTGCTCGAGGTTTGCATGCATTAGAGTGAATCTGAATCCAACTATGAATAAGATTCTGAATAAGCTCATTATTTTTATCTGTCTGCAGATCTGGGGTGCAGATGCTGGTGTAAGTCCAGGTCCTAGTGATCTGGTCTGGAAGTCTCAGTCTTGGGGAACTGGGGACACCATTGGTGTTACACTCATCACAGATGATGGTGAGGTAAGTGAAGTAGTAACTAGCTATAACTTCATAATACTAAACGTTCTTGATGTGCTTAAATCTTGAGGGGGACTTGGTGATGACTCAGCTGTATTCCAGGAACTGGCAGAGAGGAAGATAATGCATGTACCCAGAGGAGAAGAAAGTGGTGAACAGGATGAGTGGGAGGAAGAAATAACTGGAAGTGAAATAGAGTTTCCATCTCAGGTAAGCTGCCCAAAGTTTAAATACATGCTATCAACAGAGTAATTTAATGGTCACTACTTGTCATTACTACATGAAAAATCCCTAAGTACTATCCACATCCTACAACTCTTACCATTTTTCTTGATGTCAGACTAAAAGAAGAAGAAAAAAGAAATGTTGTTTGGTTTCATGATAGTGATTCCTGTGAGCATCCTAAAGCAGGTGAGATTAGCGAGAGAATCATGCTTGTAATCGTGTAGAAAACTTGTGCCAGTAGTAGTGCTGCAGTCTCTTGTCCCATGTAGGATGTAGTTTGCATGGCTTTGCATCAGAACTGGAATTGATGTCTTGTTTATTCTCTGGTGATTTAATGTGATCAAATAGCAGCATTAACTGTTTGGTCTCTTATCACTAAAATAAACACTGCAGAGTACTAGCTTTAATGTCTGTTCCACCTAAACCTGTGTCTGAGCATGAATAAACTTATAATCTAACTCTTAACCCTAGAAAAGAGTGCAAACCCAAACTGGGAATAAAATATATTATTTCTGTGCAGTGAAGTGACTTATCTGATACTCTAAACAGTGTCCCTGACTTGCTCTTAAAATAACTTAAACTCGTACTGAAGAAAGCTAATATTTCCATTCAAAAATATGCAAAGAGTGAAATCGGAGGTCTGGCTGTACTGATTGCCTACATGCTTCTGAAACTCAGACATGAGTTTGAGGCACTTCAGTGCAAGCTCACTTCCAGAAACTTTTTTCATAATTTGCACAGCAAAGTAAGTATCTCAGTCTTGCTTCACCCTTAAATATTCTCTTCAATACTGTTCAAGTGGAACTGTAGCACAGATGCAGGTCATGCTAATGGCATTGACAAACTTCAGCAGAATGAGCATGTTCTGGCTGAATTATACCCCTTTGGCTACCACTTATGTGTTGCAATGCCTCTGTGAAAGATTCTCAATAGCCCCTCCTAGCTTTTAATGGATTATTACTATTCTGAACTTCTGTCTTGAATGCTCCTACTGTGCTTTGATATACTACTAGTCAGGTATTTTTAATTGCTTAAGTATTCTAAAACAGAGCTAATATGAGTGCTTTAAATAGTTCTTAACTGAACAATTCCAGAAAAAAAGCTAGCTTTCTAAATGTGAAATCAACAGTCAGTAACAAATCTAGTTTGTGATTGTTTTGCACAAGAATGTCTGCTATGTGCAAATATGTCCTTATCTCACTGCAGGTATAAGGAGTTTAGATGCTTAAACCATGATAAGGGGGATAATGCAGGTATGCATTCACCACCCCCATGCTTTCTGCTTCCCTCCTTTCCAAAAAGGTGGGGAGAACCTTCTTCATTTGGAAATAAGATAGCAAAATATAAGCCCTTAACTGCACGTACTCTGCAGCTGAGTCTCTATCTAAAGGCTACTTGCAGGGGAAAAAAATATACGAAATCGTAAGAACAGCATAAATGATTTTTAGAATGACTACCCATTTTCTGATGCGCTTGGCTGACCAGCTTATTAGTCTGAAAAGGTGATGTCCTCAATACTCTGAGAGAGCCCACAGCTTAGTTCAACTTAGTATATTTTTTTTCTAAAAACTATTCCAATTTAGTAAATAAAACTAGGGTTAAAGTGCTTGAGCTGAAGACAGTTGTTCTTCAGCAGTCACTTGACAGCAAGTCATTGTTATGCAACAGCAGCAATCAAGTTTTGCGCAAGCAATGTGAAAGGAAAGATCTGAAAACTGGCATTTGACTCCCATCAGGTACTGAGATTCAGTAGCTTTACAGCTCAAACAAGACAGCTTTAGGGGAGGGGGCAGCAGACCTGACTAAGTGCTGGCTTGCAGTCCTGAACTACTGTGCAATCAGACCCAATCTTGTCATTCATATTACCCTAACCTGAGGAAGGGAAACTGAGCATTATTGGAATGAGACAGGCTAGAAGACCAATTATCCACTCAAGATCTTAGTTCTGATTCATATAATACTTCAGCCTATTCAATAATTACTGTACTTGACTCTCGAGCTGATTTGTTTCTGACCTAAAATAGCCCCATGCTTCCCTCACTAGCACAAACTGAAGGTACCAAGTGCAAGCGGATGCCTGGCTAAAGTCTTATTCTGTCCCTTCTGCTGATACAGTTTGAAGAGCTACCACAGCTCTTGCTGTGTCTAGTATAAGAATACCATCTGGCTTAAAGGGTGTTCGTTGAAGTTTCCTGACCATATGTGCATTCTTGTAACATCTCAGTAACACTGAAGGTAGGTGAGACCCTTCATTAATAGGCTGATGAGGAAGGCTGTGTAATGCTGTTCTGGCCTCCAGGCTCATAAGGCACAGCACACACCACAATGGCTGGGGTAACACCAGCAGAAGCTTTAGGCTTATAAAAAGGCTTAGTAGCTAAGAGCTTTTTCATCCTCAGAATAAGACCTCTCTAATTTCCTAAAGGTTCCGTATTTGAGTTGACTAATGACAATGCTTGTTTTGCAATTGCTGATGGAAAGCTAGAGTGATAGCGGGTTACATTTTTAGTCTGTTTTATCAGCAGCTTTACAATACAATTGTGAGCCACTTATAGAAAGAATCCATTCTAATACTCCCAGCAATGTTAATGACCCTCCTCCTGTCTGCTGAATTCCAGGCAAATTCTTCTTATTACTACCTGTATGCTTCTGCCACACCCATAATACAAAAATGAAGGCAACTTAGTCAAAAACATAGTTCAGTTATTGCAAGGGTTAGCATGAGTCTGAGCTAGCATGAATCTGCATGCCAGAAAACTTTGAAGCCTCAGAAATGAGGTACTGATAGCTTGATAGCCTTTCATTAAGAAGGGAATGACTCATGTATTGCATGGACTCAAATTCTGAAAAGTGTTTCTTTTCATCTCCCCCATACCTTTAAAGTTAGTAGTATCCTGCCTCTCTTGAAAACCTGTTTTGCTTTATTAATAACTAAATCTGTAGAATACTGTAAGACAATAAATTATCAGAGGATTGAGTAGGTAGACTATTTTCTCTTTAATCAGCTTGCACTGCAATAACATACTAAGTTTGTATGGCTGATAGGTAGTTAATGCCTTGGTGTTTCATTTCTGCAGCAAAATGAGGACCCTAGCTGTTCTATCATGTAATGAAGACAAGGTGATGACCGCCTAAAAATGCATCTCAGCCCAAAGTGACACTTTGGACTACATGTGTTCTGGTATCCTCTGAAATATCTGAAACTTGGAATTCACATCTCCCACCTGATGCGTGTGTAAGAAGTGTTGTCCTTAATGTGAGACTTCCTACCTTTTGACACTGGACCTGGTCTTGGATTCCACCATTTAAAGAGCAGCAAAGTACAAGATCCTTACAAAATTTTTTTTTGCTCTAAATAAGAACATAAGGATCTAGTTTCTATGACCTGCTGAAACATGGGAGAACATAGTTTACAATGCTTAATGTTAGTTGTGTTCCAAAACAATGATAAATACTTAAGAGTGAACATGAGGCTGCCTCAGCTTTCTGAATAGTCTGACATGGGGTTTGCATGGGTCTTGCACCTTGAGCAAGTCAGAACTTGGCTGGGGAAAAGCATTACCCTAAAGGGTGCTGAGTGTCTGAAACGTTTCCTGTTCAGATCCTGATATTGAAACATGAAACTGGTCTAGATTGCTTGTTAGAACTTTCTAGTGTTTAAACTTTTAAAATTAAAAGCAACTTGTAAAATGTTTTTTACTTGCTTGGTATTAAATGTACTGTTTCTGTGTTCTAGCACCTGGAAATCTACAGACTTCAGTATTTGATATTCCTAGATATAGAACAGCACAGCATAGCTCTTATTTCAAATTTTTTGGAACCTTAAACAGCTGTATCCTATAAATGTGTGTGTGTTGGGGGGAAGCATCTCATTCCAACAGATAAGGTACTCTAACTAGCGATATTAGCACTCTGAATGGTGCCGACAAGCCAGCCTCTTAGGGGGATAGAAGAAACATTCTGAAACAAAGAGCAAGGCTAGAAAGCACCAACTATAATGAAAGATGCATCAAAAATACCTGCTCTTAAAAGTTCCTGTGCCCTAAATATCTGACATAAATAAGGGGAAGTGCAGTCTGCGGTACTGCTTTTGTGTACATCTCACCTGACAGATGGGGAATACTCTCTTGGCCAGTAGGTAAATTACTGTAACTTTAATGGCTTTGCTGTCCACACAGAGAGGCCTATGTAACCCTTGGAAACAGGCAGTCATCCTTTATAGCCATTATTCCTTGCCTTCCCCCTGCAAAGGCCTACCTGGTTGCTGTATGGTGGAGAAATACCCATTTCTCTTTAAGAACATGAAGGGAGGGAAGCAGCTGCTATTGCAGACCTCATCAAATATTAGATTACTTTCTGACCTTCACTCTTTCCTTGCCAGTCTTCAGTGTTACAGTACAACTGAATTTAAGATCTGTTCTGTGTTAGGATGCAGTTCTTAATGTGAGGCTTGCCTTAGACTGGCTTAAATTCACTTAAATCAAGCTATTTAATAATTGAAGTTTTAAGGTATTTCAACCAAATGTTGGCTGAACACTTGTGATTTAGCAGATCTGAATTCTTGTTGTACCTCATGGCCTAAATTTAAATAGATGCTGCTATAACCTTGCTATATTTATCTTGATCTGTTAAACTTTTTTATTATTAAAGATTTTGTGTATATAACCAGCCTTTGAGTTTAATATTTTTAGGTTAAAAACAAAGTTACTTATTGGCAATAGTCACTGTTAATTATTGGTATTAGCAAAGTGCTTCAAAAGACTGAAGCAATAAAAGTGACATGTGTGTGAAAGATTTCCTGCAGATTGAAGAAGCCTTCAACAATAGACCAAGCTGCCCTGTTTACATAGCTAATAAAGCTGAACTGTACTGAACTTGATGTAAGAGGAGTCCTTAGTAATTTAGATCAGGTTTCTTTGCAGAACACAAGGGAAGGATGATGTGCATTGACAAACAAGTGAAAGAGGTTTGAACTACTGCAAAGGTCTTAATGTGAAATAGCTGCTGCAGACCACTGGTTGGTAACACCATCAACAGCCTAGGAAACAAGATCTACAAGAAGCTCATGAACATCTTAGCACTCGCCCTTAAGAACATACACAGTAAAGAACTTCTCTGATATTTGCAATGGATCTTACTGTGCAAGTTGTCCACCTAGCAGCAAAGGGAAGGAAAAGGATGGTTGGCTTCCTGTCACCTCTACACATTACCCTATTCAACAACAGTATAGCTATCTTCTGACTTCTTACTTCTAGCTCACTTTTCCACAGCTATTTCTGTTGGATGAGACATGTATTGCAGCTGATCAGGAGCTCTGTACTAAATGGCCAGCTGCCTAGGGCCAAGTGTAAGGAGAATTCAAATTTTTTTATGCATGTATGTGATGTGTGTGTATGTAAATGTATTTTTATATATATAAATTCTCTCCTCTAGGGAATTCTGGCCAGACAGATGAGATCTTGGTGTCTGTTTTCTTGCCTGCTATGGAAATGTAAGACAGACCTCTGATAAAGAAGAAAAAAATTCGAAAGGAAAAGCCAAATGTTTTGGCAACTACCAGGTGTGTCACAGAACACTGTTTCAAAAGGCCTGAGCAGAAGTAAAATGCTAGTGCTGCTTAAACAGTAGGCTTTTTTTACTGTGTATCTTGTCAAAGAGGCTGTAAGCTTTGGTTATGACAGTCTACCTCTCTTTCACTGCTTGTACTCTATGTTATGGATTATTAGGGGTATATGATAATTCTCAAATTCATTAGTATATCACTGCAGTGTACCAAACGAGAAGCCATTTAATGTGTTGCTATCTATCTATTCCATATGTGGCTGTGCTTTATAGTTTTTTCTGTACCTAGATTTCTTCTTACTCTACTCTTAAATGAAAAGGGTAGTCAATGCAAGGCTGTTGTTTTATAAAGAATTTTTTTGACAACTTTAGAAACCCAAGCTATTACTTTGGGTGATTGTTCTCTTTCCTCTTCCCTAGCTATTGCTTATTTACTTAAGCAACAACTAGGTGCCTAACTGTGGTTCACAACAGATTCACTTATTGCCTGGTGGCACTTTTTTTTTTCCCTAAACTCCCAGAAGATATGCATGTTTAAGCATATAGTCCTGCTGCTTCCCCTACCCAAAAGCTTGTGAGTGTGGGATCTCTAAGGCCAAGTAGTTTAGCAGTTACATAACAGACTGTGAATCCCAAATGTTTAAACTTTGAAAATTGCCATGCACACTTTGTATTCAGAATATCACAGTTAGTTTCATTCAAAAACTTGGCCAGGACAAGTTGTGTTCTATAGTGCTGCTCTAATAACTACTAGGTACTCACCTATCAAGCTGGAAAAGGTCTTCTAAACTTCCTTCTTTGCAAGAGCAGGTCCAAATTCAGAGCTCCTGTGGTCCTAACTACCACACTGTAGGCAAAGCTGCAAAGAATAACCCTCTGCTTCTCTTGTGACCACTGTGCGAGCAGGAGCCTTCCTAGCACTCCAGCCCAGAGATGAGGGAAAGTGGGAAACCTGAGTTTTGAGAGGCAGTTAGGGCCTATTTATGCTTCTTCCATGCAAAAGTAACTGCACCTTCCCTAGAGATTGCAGTTTCTGTTGGGCTACCAAACCCAATAGAGCTTGCCACTTTGAAGCTAGATTCAAGCCAGTTTGCCCATGCAGTGTTCAGTTCCTTTCTCATCACTCTCTTCTGTCTTATCCAGAGAATAACTGGTGAAAGAGCATGTTCCTCTGGCGTTGCTGAATTTTTTAGTTGTTACTCTGTCCATGTTTACTGAGCAAGGCAGGAGAAGGCTAACAGAGAAACAAATGAATTTTCTCTTCATTTTGATAGTACTTAAGAAGCCTGAGTCTCTGTCTGTCTTGATTTTGAAACATGTTTTTGCATGTTTTTAGCTATGGCATTTGCATCTTTTTCCTTCACCTATTATCTTCTCTTCTTTCTTCTTCTTCTCCATCCCTTTCAAAAAAAAAAAAAGTAAAAGTGTATTGACTTTTCATTTGTTTGCAACAATCACTAGCGATACTCACCCATTTATCTAATAGAGATTATGCAAACTCTGCAGCGCTAGGACCAGTTTGCACTTAGTTCAAATGTTTTTTAACTCTTCTGCTGTAAGAAAAATGTTAAGACATTATGAACACTATGCAGTCAGTGGGGAGAAAGCAAGATTATTAAAATTCCATTGGCTGAGTGGTCATAAAACTAATAGTTTGGCTTTATTCATCCATTTTAGTGTAGCATTTTCTTTGCTGAATGCTGATATATCTAGCAGGAAAAGTGACCTCCAGCTCACAAACAAATGCCAGAACTACAGGAATAGAAGCAGCAACCACTGTTCTTTTCCCACAGAAATATTTATTAAGTTTGGTCAGTAAATTATAGGAATTTTCAATTCTGAGAACTTGTACTTAGTACAACAACATCATAATATTGACAACAACCACTTTGCCTTTTGTCAACAAACAATTTGAAACATGGATTAACTTGTTCACAATAAATTACAGTATGATAGATGAGAAAAGCTCAATGACATCAGTAACTTAGGAACTGGTTACAGTTAGCTTTGCTTACAGTATTTTTAAAAATGGTTTTCAATAGTAAAATCATTGCAGCCAAAGATTAAAAAAATCCACATACAATAATAGCAAAAGAAATGCATTTTTGGAGCAACAGTGAGCTACCAGTAAACACTTCATACGGTGATCTTCAAGGCACAAAGCAAAAAAACTGGGTATGGGTTTTTTTGCAGGTTGATGGAGACAGGGAAGGTAAAATTTTTTTGAATATAAAATAAATACATTTTAAAAAGACGCATACAAAAGTCAGTAAGTCAGTCAAATAGCAAGGCTTTCACAGAATGCCACACTGATAGAACATTTGTGAATCCATTTCAGTCATGAAACCATGTTCACAGCTTTAATGACACAATCACTGAGGCAAGGGTACCATCACTTCAACATAATTAATAGGGAAGAAGCCAGACTCTCCATTTAACATCCCTTCATACCAATTCTCATCAATCTGATTCGTCAAAGTAATGATGTCCCCTTCCTTAAACCCAAGCTCGCCTTCATTTTCTGGCTCAAAGTCATACAGAGCTTGGCAACAAGGCTGGTCCATGTGCATTGAAGAACCTGCTCCAGTGACAGAAAAGAAAATATTAGAAGAGCTTCAAAGTACCGCACCAGCCAGTAAGCATCAAAACAGTGGGTCAAAACTGTAGCCCTGCTGTCACAAGTGTACCTTTGTCTTGTTTCCTGAGAATTTTTCACTCGTTAACATCCAGTCCTTCTATGTATAAATATAACATTTGGGGTAATTAATTAGAAGTGTAATTCTGTTTCTCCCTTAAATGCAGACGCTACAAGATTTTGATTCCCAGTTGCATTCCCTTTGGGAAGGATAAACAAAACTAACAGTCGGAGCAGTCATGGTTGCCAGGCTCACACTGTGGGAGCTTTGGAGCGGGGGGGCAGAGGAAGTAAAAGGGGAGGAGGTGACGAAATGGCAGAGTCAACCAGCAGGATGATGAGCACTCATTTAAAAAATTGCACTGCAGCACGCTGCGACTGCATGAACAGCTACCAGAGAGCAGGGGCTCAGGCTCAGTCCTAGCTGCGCGCGCTGCCAGCCAGCGGGCAGCACCCGGACGGGGCTTCCCCAGCAAACTGGAGCGTGAGGTTGCCCCCGCCTCGCCTGAGCAGCCACAGGCATCTCTAGGCCACCTCTCCTCTCCAGGTTTGTGTGTCCAGAGTCGGTGCCGTACATGTCCTTCATCTGAACTAAAGCGAAGGTTATGCTAGCAATGATGGTGCCTGTCAAACTGTCCTACAGTATGTGGCCTCTGTTGTGACTCACCCTGTTTGTTCAAGGTCTACTACAAAGATCTTCATTCCAAACTGCTGTTTTCAATTATTAATGGTACCATATACAAACATATATTTACAGGAAAAATAAATGATATACATGGAAATTAAAGTACAAAAAAGATCACCTTTAGCAAAAGAAGTTAACTTTGTAAATGCAGTTTTTTTTGTTTTTTTTTTTTTAAAGATATTCTCATGAATGGATGGTTAATTGGCCTGGATTTATCCTAGGGATACCTACATACATACATATTCACTCATATCTATGAATAGTAAATTATTCTTTAAAAAAAAAAAAAAAGTGTAATCTAGTGTTCAAATTGTAAAGCTCAGGTCTGTGGGCAAGGACTAGCCAGAAGTTCAATTGAAGTTCAGCCATGACAAGTTTTTAAAAATATATCCAAGCATATCCAAGTAAAAGTCAAGTAATTTGAAATATATTCATAAAGGAAGTAGAGGAGAACAGATTCCAAGCTGCTCCCATGTAAACAGTAGTAAAATGCACATAGCAAGACAAAGAACTCTTTAAACACCATAGTACTTGCATTAAAGCAGTTAAAAAACCTCTTTAATACTAAATTAATTCTGGTTGCCTTATTTGCAACATTGCAACGATTCTCAAACAGTCGAATCTCGGCTGTCTCTCCGAGCCATCACACGTGCTAATCACGCAGTCACCTTAAAGACTAATATATCTCTGAGAAAATCTGCACACAATTGCTAATACAACACAGGTGTAACAGCTAAGATGAGAGAAATGCATGTCATCATACTGCTTTTAATCTGCTCACCATGGTAACGTGCAAGAAAGTAAACAATTAAAAAGCCCCCTGCCCGGGGAAGGCAGGAGGTAACGACAGAGCGCTACGAGAACAGCCTGAACGGCGGCGGCACAGGTGAGAGCTTGGCTCCGGACATGCTCTTGCTGAAACAGTCCAAGCAGAGAAAAGGAGCTGAGCCACAGTTTTCGGACAAAAATCAACAGACTAGCTTCAGAAATAGCTGTGTTACTTCCAGAGTCCTTGCCAGGGTAGAAACGGTACCAGCTCCTGGAACAGCCAAGGGCAGAAGGCAGCGCTCCGAGCAGCGGACACAGTTCCTCACTCCTGCCCGCTGCTCTCATGGGGCTAATTCACTACTGCAAACCAGTTCATTTCTGACAGCAAGGTACCTGATAAGAGGTGGATCACATTTGGTTCATTTTAAGCTTCAAAGAACTGAAAAGCAATGTCTGGCAGCCTGGATAGATTTTAAAGTAATGGCCACAGCCAGCACAAACGGTTTCACTGCAGGCTGCAGGATCGGGCAGAGTCTTCATCAGAGCCCGGCAGCTGCTACTGTACGATCCAAGGAGACAAAGCCTCCCCCAGGCACGTAACGGGGCAGCACCGCCGGATGGGCTGCAACACCCAGCGATGGTTAACATCACGGCGTTGGCCACAGGACTCCAGCCTCCTCCTGCCCATCAAATACTTGCACGTCTCTTCCACTGCTGCAGCCATTTAAGCAGCTCAAGAAATTGCACCCCTTTTCCCTGCAGACAGGGGCCGTAACGCCAATTTACGCCACAGCGCCCACCTCCTGCACTGCAGCAATCAGGGAGCTAAACCGGCACACTTCACTGACACGCTTTCAGTGATGACTCTTCTCCAGACTACTCACACCTGGACAGCACAAAATGAAAAAACACCCCAAAACCAGGTTAAGCAAGAGGCTGGCTGTGATTTCTAGGGCGTAACGGGACTGAAAGCAGAAGGCCCGGCAATGCGAGTTTTTTCGAAAGGAACCATCTCTATCTGCATCTCCTCTGTCTTTTGCACCATGATGTACACATGTAGTAGCAAAATTATACTTTCATAATCACAAACTAGAGGCTTGCTAACATAATTAGTCCAGGCCTTCCTC